CGCATGGAATGGAGAGAGTAAGTAATTTTTAGGGGCACAACATCGTGTCGGTGTTGCTGAGTTTTGAACGCCATGACAGTGGGAGTTTTTAAAATTCCTTTTAGAAAAATCAACTCTTGAGAGCGCTAAAGCTAAATCGGCCGGAATTCCCCTACCTTATCGCGGGACTTCTTCTATCTTTGGCATCAGGACTGAGTCAGCCTGCATTCGCGATTCTTTATTCGGAAATGTTCAGGGTAAGCACTGCCTTGAACACCACACGCCGTACTTCTTTTCGTTTTGAACCTTCGATACAACTGTCCATCGGGAGTACAGAATTGACACCCTGGACGCTCTTTATACAAAAGCGAAGCCTTTACCAAGCCGCCAAATTACTCTATTGCGTCTCTTCTTTTTGAGCCTTTCCCTTAGTCTCCTCCGACCTCCTATTTCCCATCACCCCCACTGTTCCTTAGTCGGTGCTGTACGAATGGCACCGACGACCCAACCGTCTCTCAGTCATCAAATTTGTGGGCGACTGAGAATGAACTTAGTCACAGTGTACTTCCAAAGGGCCTTTAATTTCGCCCCGTTTAGGAACTGCATTGAGAGGAGAAAGGACATGCTAGTCAGCTAGCTGTAGGAACATTGGCTTAAAGGCATTCAACTAACGAGGGACAGTGTTAGACAGGGTTTCTACTCCTACAACTCTGGTTTTATCAAGTTGGTAGAACTTTCGAAAAGGTAACGCTTATTCACTAAATCAACATCTTCATAAAAATGCTGTAGACAGCTTCATAATTGCCTTTTACAAATAAGTAGTGAGTAGTGGGGCTTCACAACACGAAGCTGAAGTAGTGGCTGGGAGAAGCGTCATTTTCAACCCTTCCTTGTAGAAAATCCGGATATTTGTTCATTAGGACCGTTTTTGCATTCTGCTGCCACCAAAGTAGCACATTAAGACTTCGCTGAAGGTGCTGGAATGCATAGGGTGAAAGTGGCAGAAGGACTGAAGGCCATAAGGCTCACTACGAGTGGAGGTAGTGCAAACGATGCACCTCAGGTGCTCGCAAGCCCAAAACAAAGTCTTGGATAAGTAATCGAAATGTTGTATCAGGTTCAGCTCTAAGTTCTGATAAGCCTTTTTGACATAGGCTGTTGCTTTTGTGACAGATATTTTCCCAAAACTCAACACCGGATGAACAACTGTCCCAAACCGCATTCTACGCGGGTATGATGGCCGTGCTCGGACTCGCACGTTTCCTTACTCAGTTTCTATCGGTTAGTGGCATTTTTGGATTGTAGAAAAACTG